TCTGTCATCTTGGTGCTTGGGGGGGGGGGTCAACAGTGGGAGGGCTTCTAATGTCCTGGCCCCACTGGTGGACCTCCTGGTGGCACCTGGTATTTCTGGCCACTGTGTGACACAGAGTGTTGGGCTGGATGGGCCTTTGGCCTGATCCAGCATTGGCATCTCTTATGTTTCTTATGTTCACCGTGGTAAACTTCCTAATGAGGATCTACTGTCATGGGCGCTGGCTCTGCTGAGGCTGACTCCTCCCCAGATGAGGAAGAGGCACAGAGCAGCCCAGCCTCCTCTGGGGTCAGCCCAGAAGAGGAACCCTTAACAACACCTGAGGGAGAAGAGGCCCTAGCGGCTGCATGGGAGGTGCAGCCCGAGGGAGAGAGCGATCCAGAGCCTGGCCCAGCACCCCACCCCACCCCACCCGGTGGAGATACCCTGAGGCCAGCGTCCCCATCTAGTTCTCCCGAGTGTCCCAGACGCAGGGCACGCCAGCGGCTGGATGTGCAAGAGCGAAAGAGGAGTGCCAGACTGTGGTTCTTGCAAAGGCAATGTGAGGGGCTGTGAGTCTTGGCAGACTGACTCCCAGGGAAGGGAGGACCTGGCCATAAACACCCCCACGCTCCTGCCTCAGGGTGGAAGCAACCGTGCCTGCTCGGACCTGATCCTGGCCGTTAGCCTCCGCTCTTAGCTCCTGCAACCTTCGACTGACTTCCCGGCTTTCTGACCTTCGGCTCTGTTGCTCGGCTTGCTTTTGGACCGTGTATCCAGTTTCCAGTGCATGGCATCCGTGGTGACCGGCTGACCCAGCACATCTAGTGACCCAAAAGTTGTCACAGCCCCTGGATCAGACTCTCCATCTAGCAACAGGGCTCCAACGGGAGCCAAACGGATGCCCACGGAAGACTTACAAGTGGGGTAAAGAGGCTGGAGCCTTCCCTTATTGTTTCCCCGCCCAAGTATAGGTGCAGTGCCTCAGAACATGGAGGTTCCATTTAGGCTTCAGGGCTCACGGACATCGAAAGACAGAGTTGTGGAGCAAAGGGCCAATCCCCTCTTGCCTGTGGAATGTTGGACCAACGGAATCTTGAGCTGGGCCAATCGAATCACGTCCCCGTTTCCTATGGAATCCTACCGCAGCCAATAGAACGGTACACTCTCTCTTCCACCCCCCTACCACTTAAAATATGAGATCATACCTCCTGGCCAATGGGCTGTCTCTTCTACAGCCAATCCGAGGTCTCTGAGTCCTTATTAGCGTCCCCGACCCACCCCAACACCCTCTCCCCTTCCCACAAATCCCTTCCATATCAACCCCTCCCAGACTTTTGGACACATCCCTACATCAAATCAAATATTTCCAATTCAAATATGCTTTTATTGTTAGGAGAAGGGATACAGGTGTCGCCAAAGAGTGTGGGAGGGTAGGAGAGATATGCAAGGGATCCATTCGGAAAGGGGGGGTCCAAGAAAGAGTCAGCTGCACGCAACGGTGGTAAACCCCCTTGACTGAGCATGAGGACGGGGTCTGAATGGCAGGGGTCTCTCTCCCCGTCTCTCCACTCCTGATCTGGTGGCAGCACACGGCTATATAGCATTACATCAACTCTGCGTGTCTCTCTCTCTCCTCCTCCTCCTCTGGCCTGGGACCAGCTGTGGGTTTTTTCCCAGCACCTTTCTTTTTTCACGAAGTTCTCTGCCGTTTCTGAAAGTTTAGGGAATTGTCTTCCTTACACTTCCATGTGTTTGAAAAACCGGAACACAGCATGCATGTATCTCTCTTGCAAACTGTCCCCCTCCCCCCCCATCAGTCATTCTCCCCTGCCCTTTTCTAATTTTGCCTTTGGAGGAAGCAACCTTGTAGCTCCAGTCTGAAGTCAGGGGGGAAAAAACACCACTCTATTTGGAGAGAGCCTGCCTGCCTTTTACACATAACACAGTTGTGAGGTTGTCTCCCAACACAATTAATACCATCAGTACAATTGGCCCAGTTTCTTCACTAATATTTTAATCTTTCCCCCAGAAGTCCTACTTCTGCTAACTGCTTTCCTTTCCTCCTGGGTCCCCTCCTGTGATGTTTTTATACCTGCGTTCCCTCTGTAAGGGTGGGGTACCATGCAGGCAAGCTTGCAGAGTCTCCTACCAGACAGGTATTGCTAGTTTTGGATCTATTCATTCAGAGAAGGGTGGGTTTTTTGTAACACTAAACCGCAAACAGACCAGATGGTCCAAATGAGCAAACTCGGGACAATGGGAAGAGAGCATCTGGATTCTCTGATTGCCACACAGACGCACATCATATTGGCCGAATTCTGCCTTTTCTCTTTCATCTCCCTGCTCCAGGCGGAACGGAGGCAAAAGCACACAGGATAATTTAATTCATGTTAGTTGATGTCACGATCTAGGTCTACAATGGGCAGGGATTTCGTATCCTGCCCCCCACTTTGGGGAAATTATGTGGAAATGGTGGTTGTTTCCATATGGGGAGACTTTTGTTCTCCTTCCTGTTGCCTATACAAAAGCATTCACAGTGGATACAGAGCCTCCGCACGGAGATCTTCGCCACCATTTCCCCCTGTGCGCACTACTCCTTGCCCTGGGCAGAGGGTAGGCACTGGCAGGCGAGGTAGCAAAGCTTATATTTCAGGTAACAAGGCTAAAAGTCTAACACAACTTTTATGAAAAGCCAGAAAGTAGCTCTCTGCTAGGAAGCTTGGTGTAGTGGTTAGGAGAGCGGGCTCTAATCGGGGAAAACTGGATTTGATTCCCCACATCTCCACATACAGCTGCTGGTGTGACCTTGGGTCAGTCACAAGTTCTTTCAGAGCTGTTCTCTCACGAGCAGTCCTCGAAAGAGCTCTCTCAGCCCCACCTACCTCACAGGGCATCTGTTGTGGGGCAGGGGGAGGGAAAGGAGATTTACGGTGCTCTGAGACTCCTTCGGGTAGTGAAGGGCGGGGTATAAATCCAATCTCTTCTTCCTCTTCTAAAAATATATCGTAGCATGCAGCTAGAGCTAAGAGACATCACTAAGAGACTACCAGCATCTGGCGAGGGAAAAGAGGATGTGGGGCTGAACTGGGTGAAGGACAAGCAAATGGGTCACAGGCAGTGTTCCCTCTAAGCTGAGTTAGTGTGAGCTAGCTCACAGTTTTTTAGCCTCCAGCGCACACACTTTTTCTCTTAGCTCAGGCTCCAGAGAAAACTAACTTATGCAGTAGCCAAATCGCTCGCTCTCAACTTTAATGCCAGTCGCTCACAAAGTAGAATTTTTGCTCACAAGACTCCACAGCTTAGAGGGAGCATCGGTCACAGGCAAAAGGAATGTCTGGGGACCGTTTTGAGAAACTGGACCTGGACAGCCCCAGACCACAGGACCAAGAAAATAGGAAATACTTACAAGGACAAACCATATGTTTGAATGTACGTCTGCTGGTCAGTGAAATTCCAGGAAAATGCAAACTATGTCACATCAGACATCTGTGCATGTCTGATGATTGCTCACAGCAATGTATAAAAAATGAAGGTAGAGACATCAGATTCAGACTTCTGGGATCTTGGCTACCTGGAGTCCCCTTTTATTGCAATAAAAGTTCTGTCTGCTTATGGAATCTCACTGGTTGTGTCCTTTATTGGGTGTTGGCATGACAGGTAATGAGCCCATTTGGCTAACAGCGAGAGGGGATACGCTAAGGAAATAATACAAGGTGCGGGTGGAGAGGTGTGGAAATCAACACATTCCCACCCACGTGGATCCCAAAACCTCTTTAAGATTTTTGGGGTATAAGCTTTCGAGAGTCAACGCTCAGATACCTGACGAAGGGAGCTTTGACTCTTGGAAGACTATACCCTGGAAATCTTCTTGGTCTCTAAGGTGCCGCTGGACTCGAACCTAGCTCCTACTGCAGACCCACATGTCTGCCCTTAGAAACATCCACATAGGTTTTCAGGTATATAACAACACAAGCACGGAAATGCACAAGGAACTGAAGAATCTGTACTGGCAGAGACTGAGCAAGAGAGAGATCTTGGAGTTGTAGTGGATAACTCACTGAAAATGTCGAGACAGTATGTGACTGCAATAAAGAAGGCCAATGCTATGCTGGGGATTATTAGGAAGGGTATTGAAAACAGATCAGCCAATATCATAATGCCCCTATATAAATCAATGGTGAGACCTCATTTGGAGTACTGTGTGCAGTTCTGGTCACCACACCTGAAAAAGGATATTATAGCTTTGGAAAAAGTGCAGAAAAGGGCAACTCGAATGATAAAAGGGTTGGAACACTTTCCCTATGCGGAAAGGTTAAGGCGCTTAGGGCTCTTTAGCTTGGAGAAACGACGACTGAGGGGTGGCATGATCGAGGTTTATAAGATTATGCATGGGATAGAGCAGGTAGGGAAAGAGGTACTTTCTCCCTTTCTCACAATACAAGAACTCATGGGCACTCCATGAAATTGCTGAGCGGTCGGGTTAGAACGGATAAAAGGAAGTACTTCTTCACCCAAAGAGTGATTAACACTTGGAATTCACTGCCACAGGAAGTGGTGGCGGCTACAAGCATGGACAGCTTCAAAAGGGAATTAGATAAGCATATGGAGCAGAGGTCGATCAGTGGCTATTAGCCAAAAGGTATAGATAGGGGCTCTGGGGCAAGTGATGCTCTGTCTTCTTGGTGCTTGGGGGGGGTGTCACCAGTGGGAGGGCTTCTGATGTCCTGGCCCCACTGGTGGACCTCCTGATGGCACCTGGTATTTCTGGCCACTGTGTGATACAGAGTGTTGGACTGGATGGGCCTTTGGCCTGATCCAACATTGGCATCTCTTATGTTCTTATGTTCTTATGAAGGGACATGGGAATCTGTCCTTCGCTATGGCCTCACTATTATCCTACAACTTAGCATTCAATTCCTGTCATTTTCACTTTGTACGGAAACTCCTTCCCTTTTCCTCCAGATGCACAGGCGCTCCCCTTCCCACATCCACACAACACCACACAACACAGGACTCACCTTGAGGTACCGCTTGCGATTCACGTAGATGCGCACGAGGCACCTGAACTTGATGATGGTCCCTCTCAGGCGTGAGTATTTTTGCCTGCAAAGAGAGGAAACCCACTCAGTATTACGTAGGGGGAAAGATCCACACCAAACCTTAGCAACATTGACCTGGAGTGAGAATTCAAGATGGTCTTCAGATCTGGGATGGACTATGTTTACACAGAGAGGGGGAAAGTATTTCTACATCCAGGTTCTGAGGTACAAGAAAATTCAAAATCTGAGGAAGGACTTTGCTCTCCCAAATTTGTTTCGGCTCTGGTTGGGCCTATGGAATGCCTAGCACACTATACCATAGAGAGAATATATTATAGGATCGCTTATGAAGGACTATTTGATAGATGGGAGCAGAATTAGATGTAACACGATCTGTGGAGCTGTCGGTGGTCTTCACCCTTTTTTCCTGATAACATCTAGCATAACACAACCTGCGATATGACATCACAGTGATGTCATTTGCAACAGTCAATGATGTGAGGCTGGAGACAGGATGCAAGGTGATGACATCACAGGAAGAAGGGAGAATGGGACATGGGGCGGGAGGGAGGAAGGCAGCTCCATATTTCCTGTAAGGTCCATTTCCACTCTGAGGTGCCCAGTTTATTACCAGAGGGTTTCAGAGACTAAAATTTAAGTCTAGTCAACAGGTTGCCAAATCCTTCTTGGGGAACTTCCTGAAGATTTGGGGAATTGTTCGCGGGGAGGGTGGGGTTTGAGGAGGAGAGGGAGCTCAGAGGGGGTGTGACGTCATCCTAGGATATCTTTTTCTCCTAGACTCTATGGTATACCGCATTCCAAAGCTGCCCTTTCCTCCAGAGTAACTGATCTCTGTCAACCGAAGATCAGTTATAATTCCAGGAAAACTCCAGGGCCCACCTGGAGCCAAGTAACCTTGCTAGTCAACAACATCTGAGGAGGGACCCTACCACGTACAGACAAATCCATTAAAAACTGTCCTGGACTAGAGAATTCATTCAGAGCTGGCCGAACGAAACTGAGGTCTGAGGTGTACCGTCCCCATTAAAAAATTCAGTCAATTGGCCACACTGAACTCTGGTATGAGGTGTACCACTTCAGTAAGTGGGGGCCCCCATTTTAAAAAACCCTCTCCGCATAAGAAACAAAAGCAGAATCCTCTCTGACATCCCTGGATTTCCGCACTGAGGGGGTGGTTTGGTTTGATGGAATATTAAGAGTTCTCTGCTTGAAATATTACCATGTGGACACGCGTCCATTACCTCAGTGTGTTTTAGGACACTGAGGCAGCTGGTGAGGACCACCATTCATCTCCCTCCCCCCAAATACATGTTTGTATCTGTCCGAGAGAGGCCGTGTGGCAGCTCAGCACCTGGCCAGGAACCCGCGGGACCGGGCCTGGATGAGAATGATCTTGTGGCGGAGGGCGTAGAAGCGCTTCTTGATTAGGAAGCCCCGCGTGTACCGCTGGAGGGTCAGCACTGCCATTTGCACCATCCGCTCACGCCGGCTCTCCAGTTGCTGGTAGACGCTCTCCTTCATGAAGAGCTAAAGACATGAGGAGAAAGTCGAAAGATTAGGCACCTGAGGGAAGCCATGTTTGGTATTAAGTCAACCATGAGGAGGGGAACCCATTGGGTTCATTGTCAAAGGATTGAAACCCCACAAATGAAATTTCCTTCATGAAGAGGTAAAGACGTGAGGGAAAAGTTGAAAGATCAGGCCCCTGAGGGAAACCATGTTTGGTATGAAGTGATCCATGAGGAGAAGAACCCACCAGGGTTGTTGTCAAAGGACAGAAGCCCCACAAATTAAGTTTCCTTCATGAAGACCTAAAGACATGAGGGAAAAGTTGAAAGATCTGGCCCTTGAAGGAAGCCATGTTTCGTACGAAGTCAACCATGAGGAGGGGAACCCTTCAGGGATGTTGTCAAAGGATGGAAACCACACAAACTACCCTCGGGAATGCTGCTATGATCATGGAAAACGGCGGCCATACCTTGGTCGCTCCAATGCAGTACATATCGCGGGTGACCGGGCACAGTTTGGTTAGCACTTTGACACAGTACATCCCCTCGGGCAAGGAGTCAGGACGGAGATCAACGAGGCAGCGGTACCTGAGGGGAGGAAGGGCAAGGGTGTGAGGGGCACCTGTCCCAAATCGATTTTCAGACAAGGAATTCATGCTAAAGGCTCGTCACACATCGAAGTGGCTAAAACAGTGTGAAGTAAACGGACCATGTCACAAGCTGCCAACAGCACGGTAGTGCAACCCTGTGAGATCTAACCCAACATGAAACACAAGTCCATTCAAACCCAAACAGAGCTGTTTAGACCGCCATCTTGGATTTCTCCTTAGAACAACTGTGACTTCTGCCTTCAACGATGTTTTCCCTCCAAGCTTCTGGATCGCTTCTGATCACTCAGGGCCCAAATATGTGAGGGTCAGGAGACCAAGCTTTCAGGGGGTTTGAAACGGCTACATCCAAATGGCAAGCTTACGACCATTTTGGGGGTCTAATTATGTCATTTCAGAAATAAGACAGAACCTTTTACCTACTGAGTATGTATGGGATAGGATCAAGGAAAGGGTGGTACAAGTTTGTGCTAGGCTCAGATCAAGAAGGGTTGGATCCCGCCATTACTCTATGAGTAACAGGGTTGCCAACCTCCAGGTGAGGTAATTGAGCTTGTTTCCCGCTGCATAGATTAGTTTGCTCTGGAGCCCTCCTTCCTGAGGGAAGACAAAAACGTGTGCGCCAGAGGCTAAAAAACTGTGAGCTAGCTCACACTAACTCAGCTTAGAGGGAACACTGGGTACGACTCTCCTTTTTCTCTCCTTTCCTGATATGTAAGTGCTGTATTTTTTTCCATGGGGGGATATATTATTAAAGTTTGATGGAATAATAAACCCAAGAGGTTGCCATAAATTGGCTAAGACTTGACGACACATTCCACACACCTGGTTGCCGAGGAAATTACCTCAGCAATTTCCTCAGCACCTTTCCACCATTATCTGCAAGGGGCCCTCTTCCAGGCGGAGGCGTCCCTAACACAGGTGGAGGTATCTCTCTTATGTGCATGGAGGGCCACAGTACAGGTAGACCCAATGTGCCTTCCCAGCTGTGGGGGACCCCATGATTCTTTCCCGGACCAGAGCCCCCTTCCCCGTACCTCTCTGTGAAGATCCTGAAAGGGATACGGACGGGGAAACCTTCTTTGCGGATACGGATGGTCTCCAGAATCCCTGAGTACTTCAGTTGGGCGCCGACTACGTCCTCCTCAAAGAGGCCCGGCTTCTGGGCGAGGAAATGAGGAGAGTTTGGGCAAAGGAGACAGCCAAAGCTTATTTAACTTAGTACATTTTTAAGTGCCACTTCCCCCCCCCCCAATGAGCTCATCATTCTCCCCTCCTGTATTTTATCCTCTCAACAACCCTGCGAGGTAGGCTAGGCAAAGGAAGAGAGAGAGAGAGAAAGAGGGGGGGAGGCTGGCCCAAGGTCACCCAGCAGGCTTCACGGCAAGAGTGGAGATTTGAACCTGGGTCTCCCCAAGCCCAGTCCGACACTCTAACCACTATACAACACTGTCTTCCTATGCATCTGTACACATATATTCCCACTTGGAACCTTCAGATCATAGAGTTTCCTTGCTAGAGTGGCCCCATTTAGTGACCGCT